CCTATGCATAGTCACAGCAGCTCTTGCAGAAGAGTTCTTACATCCATACTTTGCTCCTTTTAAGCTTGCTGACTTTTTCAGCATGTGAGTTCAGGGAAGGGGTAAATTTTGCTTGAGAAGTAAGTGTGATATATATCAAAGTATTTTCAATGGAGCTTATTTTTCCTTGCTGCTTCTTCTGAATAGTCCTGCAAATTTAATAATGGCCAGATTATTTTATGTAGTACACACGCAATTTAATTATTAAATGGAATACTAAAGAGAGAGATCTCATTTAAAGAAAAAAAGGAGGTTGTAACTTGTTTTTTCTAAAAGTGACTCTTTTCCACCCTGACCTCATGCATCTGAGGAAGCCTGTATTCCTCATCCTGAGAAAAGGAAGGAGTAGAGCAAAATAAAAACATCACAGATTTGTTCTATTTTTCTTTTCCCCTCCTCCTCCCTTTGTCCTACTGATGACAGATGTGACATCCCTTCTATGGGCTGGCTAGCAATGAAATGCCCTGAAGTAAGGCATGGCAAGGAGAAATATATTTACATTTTTAAATATTTTTAGAATGCACAAAATTAGAACATGGGGCTTTCATAGAAACAAGACCAGATGCCTAGGGGTAAAAAGGCTGAGAATATATCATAATAGGTCATCCAAATCAACATCCTGCTTTTTCTTGAAATTCTTTTTAAGGCAATTTAATTTTTAAAAATGTAGAGAAAATTTCTGAGGAGAAATATATGAGATTTATTGTTGCATGAACCCCTCTCCCTTCCCTCTCTGGCCAAATATCATTGAACAAGTGTTCAGGGTTCTTGGAGAGCTTGTACTTAAGTTAATAGTCCATGGTGAAGCCAGTTCCTTGACCACTTCATTGCTAATGTTACCAGTCCTAGCTAGTTTTAAAGGTAGCATTGGAATGGCTATCTATTTTGCAGTAAAAATCTTATTTTTCTGCTTGATCGTTCCCTTACACAAAAATATGGCTGTAAGATTTTTATGATCGATTGTTCTAAACAACTGGCATTTTCCTCAGTGGCTGCTACCCATTTCCTGTGCTACATCTTACATTTTAAGAGCCTTATACAGATACAGTAATCTATTACAGCTTTGGCCAGTATAAAAGCTATAGTTAAAGCTGCCTATTCTTCTCCTGAAGCTATTTTTAAATCCACTTACCCAAACATGTACATTACTCATCATTTATGAGATCCCCAACAGGCGTTATGCTAAAATGAGATTTTGTTCTGTATTGAATTATTGTCTTGTATGAAATGCAATGCAAAATCACAATGTATTTTTTGTTAGCTGAACTAAATAATGTAATTTGGAAGTGACACTGCAAGCATGTTTGACACTAATATGGTGGGTGGAGGAGGGATCTCTATCCATGGTGGGGGGTGTCTGTCTGTCTTCAAACTTAGATGGGCTATGATGGTAAAAGGTCAAATCTGATCTGCTAAAACAAAATCCTCGAGGCTCCTCTTCAAACTGAGTGTAAGGGTCTATCTCCCACCCCCAAAACTAAAGTTAAGATCATCATGACCCTTTTGGGTTTTGTTTCTCAATAGACCTCTGAAATACTTTGAAGTATTGTGGACTTCTGGGAATTTAGGGAAACTTAGACTGACACAAAATTGCTATTACCTCAGTGGCATGGTACAACTTGTGTAACTTGCTATTTTGCATGCATTGATAGGATTTATTTTTCCATGACACTGAGCATTTTTTCAGAGAAAATAAGATATATATTTGCTAAAGAAAAAGGTTTTTGGAAACCAACTGCAGCAATGCACCTAAGTAATCCAGAGGGGCTTTGAAGGGATTTGCTATGAGATGCATACATTTCTCTCCATATATCGGAGTATCTGTGCTGTATATCACTTGCCCCTTCTAAATAGCTGAAATGAGACAAAAAATGGACTGAACTCCATACATTTTTCTTATACATGTTTTCTATTAATTAGGATATTAATATCCTTCTGACATACATTAAGGTGAAAAGAGTTGAATTCAGTTTCATCTGGAATTCCAAATTGTCACTAATACTGTCACAAAAGGCTTTTCTTGCTGTTCTGAAGTACTTTGGTCCCCTTGGTTAGGGCAATATAAAACTGTTCCGTGAAGAACACAAAAATCATACTTCTCCTTTGCAAAGAACTTGCAGAAGAGTTAAGATAGATGTGACGCTGAGATATTATTCCCACCTTTCCTATAGACAAGATTAAAATGTATCAGATATCTGTCATCCACACATCCCAAAAGTTTGTATTAATAATTCAAAATGGCAAATCTCAACAAACACTAATTTTGCACTTATAGGTAATGCTTTTTCTCTGCTTCTCAGAGCACCTTGCCTATCAAATTGATAATTGCAAAGCAATTGCAAGGCAATTGACTTGAAGTCAGTAGTTACTGGATTGCATTATTGGAGGCTTAGAAACCAAAGTTTCAGAAGCATGCTTACTAACTGCCCATTGAGAGTCACTGAGACTGACTCCTAAGGGTACATGCAGACATTCCCAGGACCTGATCTATGATCGTATTGCTTACTTTTTTTTGTTTTTTTGTTTCATAGTTTCATAGATGGTAGGGTTGGAAGGGACCCAAGCAGATCATCAAGTACAACCCCCTGTTCATCTAGCCCACTCTTAAAGACCCCCAGGGTAGGAACCAGCACCACTTCTCTTGGAAGTTGGTTCCAGATCCTAGCTGTCCTGACAGTGAAGTAGTGCCTCCTGATATCTAGCCTGTGACCGTTATTTCTTGTCACTCCTGGGAGTGCTCGGGGGAACAGGGACTCCCCCAATGCCTGCTGGTCCACTCTGACTAGTTTGTAAACGGCCACTAGATCCCCCTTCAGCCTTCTCTTGTAGAGGCTGAACAGGTTCAGGTCCCTTAGCCTCTCCTCATAGGGCCTGCCCTGCTGCCCCCTGATCATGCGGGTGGCCCTCCACTGGACCCTCTCCATGTTGTCCACATCCCTCCTGAAGTGCGACGCCCAGAACTGGATGCAGTACTCCAACTGCGGCCTGACCAGTGCCGCATAGAGGGGGAGGATCACCTCCTTGGACCTGCTTGAGATGCATCTGTGGATGCATGACAAGGTGCGGTTGGCCTTCCTGACCCCACACTGTTGGGCCATGTTCATTTTGGCATCAATAATGACTCCAAGATCCTTTTCTGCCTCTGCACTGACAAGAAGGGAGTTCCCCAGCCTGTAGGTATGCTGCTGGTTCTTCCTCCCCAGGTGCAGCACCTTGCACTTGTCAGTGTTGAAACCCATCCTGTTCTCATCCGCCCACCCCTATAACGTGTCTAGGTCCGATTGCAGCCTATTCCTCCCTTCTAGCGTGCCCACTTCCCCCCACATCTTAGTGCCGTCTGCCAATTTGAACAGGGTGCTTTTTACCCCCTCGTCCAAGTCGCTGATGAAGATGTTGAACAGTGCAGGCCCATAGACCGAGCCCTGGGGAACCCCACTGCCCACGTCCCTGCAGGTCAAAAATGACTCATCCAACACCAGTCTCTTGGTGCGGCCCTCCAGCCAGTTAGTGACCCATTTGACTGTGTAGGTGTCAATGCCACAGGCCCCTATTTTTTTAATGAGAATGGAGTGAGAGACAGTGTCAAAGGCCTTCCTAAAGTCCAGAAAGACTATGTCCACTGCTACCCCTGCGTCTAAGGATTTTGTGACCTGGATTTTGTGACCTGTGACCCGTAACTGGTGTAATTGTAGATTGGGTCCCTCAAGTGCCAGGAGTCATGCCAGGACAGGAATCTCAGTTTATGAGGGTGGGATCAGGCGGGGCTACATGTCTGTGGGGGTGTTGGGCAAACCTATGGGGCAAGGAAGAAGCATTGTTGGGTTGAAGACGGGTTTGCCCATCTGGTGGGGAGGTCAAGGAGGCTAAAAATATCCTGGTGTGGGGAAAAAAGAGGTGGGGGGAAAG